GACTTTCGACGTGGTTTCGAGTAAACAAACAAAAACAAGCAGGAGTATATTTAAAAAATTTCAAAAAGCGGAGTAAATCTCTCTTATCGGAGTGGAATCCGAACACTGGTAGTGAATGCATTTTTCCAATTTGAACGCTAATGACCCGCAGACGGTGGGAATAACACATGTTTTTGACATAGGTTCGGAAGGAAACGCTTGCAAATGGTTGCAAATTCCCAGGGTGTACTTGATGATTTTTTTTGTCATTCCGTTATCGAAAACATTTTTCTGTTGATGCATTTCCGAACGTATTTTTTTTTCCAGTTAGTCGAAAAACATTTGCTTAATGATGCGTTTCAGAACATTTTGACTGTTTGCAAGTTTTAAATATTTAATTTTTCAAATTAATTAGTATTTTGAGTACGCAGTTTTATAGGCATTAAATTTTAGTATAATCTAGTGAAAGCCTCAAGTAGCTGTACTGCCTATTTAGGGGAAAAATTACATGAACTTGTTAGATACATGAACTTAGAAGTAAAAGTGTATGCATGGGCTTCTACCATCTCAGTGAAATGGTTAAGTGCTATTATTTTTATATGGCGAAACCACGCTAAATCAAATGGGTTATCGGGATAACCAACTCAACAGCGTGGCTAAGCTCCGGTGGGGACATGGTATAAAAAGGTAATCTTAACTTTGCCTCCTTCTGTAACAACGTACTTTGTCAACAGGGGTTTCAGCTTACACTTATACAAAAAACAAAATCAGGTCGAAATTAGATGCTAACCAAGAAATGCGCATACAGCTTTAAGACATTATTTTATACAATAAATAATGGCAGTGAACGAATTTCATTCTTCACATTAAAATTTTAAGTATGTATACTATTTCTAGTAAAAGTTTTTCTTCATATTGATTTTTAGTAATTTGATGTGGTGTTCCATAAAATGAAAAGTGTTTAGTAAGGGTTCCATTATCTTAAAAATTTAAGAACCCCTGCCTTGGAAGTATAGGTTAGTTGTAAAAGGGGTGTAAAGAAAACATGTTTGCCTACTTATTTATAAGATGTATATAGTATAAATAGCTAATATAATTTCTCAATATTGCCATATGAGCACACTCCGTTTATTTTTCTTATGTTATAATCTAATTAGATTAAAATCTTTTTCAGAGCAATACTGTCAATGTAACTCTTCAGCGTAAAAAGTCGCTTCCAGATTTTCAAGATCTTCCACGATCTATAGAAGTTATGAGTCGTGAGGAAGTCTCTGCATTGGGTTCGGCGAGGCGGGAAGCTGTGCGTCGTCAAATACAAGTTAATGAAAGGCTTAAAGCTAATCCTTTATTGTATATTTTTAGTCCACAAGTTAAGGTAACCACATCACATGTACCAATATGAGAAAACAATAACTTAAATACGTTTTTTACAGGATTGGTTTTCTCGTCAACAGTTGGTGCTGCTTGTACTTTTTCTTAATGTCATTTTAGGTTTACTCTTTGTGAAAATGTTGGCATAGCAAAAAATATTAAATTACAAAGATACGGATGGTCGGTTTTAATTAGTACTATCAATTACTCAATATAACGTACGAAAGAAATTATTTATTAGTGATTATAACTAATATATTATTCAAGCACGAGTCGAAAAAGGCTTGACGTATGTCTGTAAATATTAATTACATCGTTGTTCATTATTAGTAGTCAGTCGATCGCGAGGGAAAAATTTCCAGAAGTGCAGCTCATGTAAATAAATTCATTTTAAAAGAAATATGTATTTAATTAAAAGAACGTGTGAAAGAGGTTTTTAAAACAACGTAATAACTGATTACACCCAACTTAGTTAGTTCACAAAATGTTGTGGACTTACATATATGATTCTAATAAAATTGTATAACGGTATGACGGTTATGAACACCTTGTCAAATTTCCAAATTTGTGTTTAACAGTTTTATAGTTTTGAGTCAAGGCTGATAGAGAAGAAGGTTAAGCCAAAATCAAAATCATATGTTTAAAGATGAAATTTATTCAAATTGGAGGGTTGCGAAAGTCTTAAAAATAAGTTTGAATTGTTTTGTCCTCAAAGCAACTTAGAATATTGATCATAAAAAGCTACCAACTGATGATGTACTTCATAGAAATTAATATTAATTTGTATCAAAGATATTCCGTTTAAAAAATTTATCTTCAACTTCAAAAATATTTAAACTTTAATTTGTCAATGTTATTGTGGCTTATTAACATTTTATTTTCAATATTTTTAATGAGCTTTGTACCACGATTATTTATTAGGAAAAATTGAAAAAGCAACAAAGTCTAAGCGGTAGAAGTTATAGCAGCTATTTCGGAGATCACCACATCTCTTCATCAGACTTTTTTTTTCTAGACTTCAGCAGGGATCGAACCTGCGTAATCGATGTTCAAAGTCAGAAGCGTTAACCACTGAGCTATGTACATCCCGTAAACTCTTGTTGCTAATTCATTTTCCTTATTCAACCAACTACTATCAAGTGCAGCTGATCTGCCGCTATTTAAACTTGACAGCGTGGTTGTTGTTGTCAATTCTATACATCCATTTGATTATTTGCTTTTTTGCATAGTTTCAGGCAGGCTCTTCCTAAACTATGTATTTGTCAATGTTATTGTGGCTTATTAAGTCTAGAAAAAAGAAGTCTGATGCAGAGATGTGGTGATCTCCGAAATAGCTGCTATAACTTGTACCGCTTAGACTTTGCTGCTTTTTCAATTTTTCCTAATAAACAATCGTGGTACAAAGCTCATTAAAATTATTAAAAATAAAATGTTAATAAGCCACAATAACATTGACAAATACATAGTTTGGAAGAGCCTGCCTGAAATTATACAAAAAAGCAAATAAGCAAATGGATGTATATAATTGACAATAACAACCACGCTGTCGAGTTTAAATAGCGGCAAATCATAGTAGTGATAGTAGTTGGTTAAATAAGGAAAATGAATTAGCAACAAGAGTTTACGGGATGTATAGTACATAGCTCAGTGGTTAACGCTTCTGACTTTGAACATCGATTACGCAGGTTCGATCCCTGCTGAAGTCTAGAAAAAAGAAGTCTGATGAAGGGATGTGGTGATCTCCGAAATATCTGCTATAACTTCTACCGCTTAGACTTTGTTGCTTGTTCAATTTTTTCTAATAAACAATCGTGGTACAAAGCTCATTAAAAATATTAAAAATAAAATGTTAATAAGCCACAATAACATTGACAAATACATAGTTTAGGAAGAGCCTGCCTGAAACTATACAAAAAAGCAAATAAGCAAATGGATGTATAGAATTGACAACAACCACGCTGTAGAGTTTAAATAGCGGCAAATCATAGTAGTGATAGTAGTTGGTTGAATAAGGAAAATGAATTAGCAACAAGAGTTCACGGGATGTACATAGCTCAGTGGTTAATGCTTCTGATTTTGAACATCGGTTACGCAGGTTCGATCCCTGCTGGAGTCTAGAAAAAAGAAGTCTGATGAAGAGATGTGGTGATATCCGAAATGGCTGCTATAACTTCTACCGCTTAGACTTTGTTGCTTTTTCAATTATTCATAATAAACAATCGTGGTACAAAGCTCATTAAAAATATTAAAAATTTAAATTTTAAATTTCATTTTCATTTTGCACAAAATTTTCTATACCTAGCAATTCTAATATCTAATGTCTTTACAACGAACGGCATGTGTAAATAAAGTCAAAAACGTGAAATGATCAGTAAATTCACAGTGGACGCATATTTTTTTTTATAAAAAATGAGTAGTATAATAGATTTAGAAATATTTTTTTCCCCAAGATGCAGCGCGTTTCAGAAGTGGCGGATCCATAACTTTCCAAAAAATCGCGTTTAAAACTTCGAAGCCAGCATGAAGTAGGCAGTATTAAGTTTAGCGTTCTTTAATGCGGATTCATCGCTTTACTTCAGAACTTTTCTTCCAGTTGAAGCCAATCGAAGCGGTTCTCTTGTGCTCACCAACACAGTCACAGTTTCACTTTCTCCGACCCATGCTATAGAGTGAGCAACGGATTCATCGTTCTAGTTCTGAACTTTTCTTCCATGTGATTTGTTATTTGTTATTTCGCTAGCTACATCAGCAACAATACACCACATTTGACAGTTCTTGCTACATACCACAGCTTCATCGTTCTGGTTAGCCAGTGCTGCTTATTGGACTGCTTGTTATACGCATGCAATCGATTTGTTTAACATGAAGTTAAATTTAACAGCCAGTCGAGTGCCGGGTTAAACTTAGATCATGTAAACTGCGTTTAAGGTTAACAGCTGGCTGATTGGCAAATCTTTGTTTAAATAAGCTAGTTCGATGGTTTAATCTACATTCAGATTTAACCGTGCACTGAAAACCTAACTCTTAATGAGTTAATTACTGGGCATACGGTTGCCAGACGTACTTAATATTATTTTACAGAAACAAAATATTTTATGATTTTTTTTAAGGTTTTCACATATCGTTGGAACTTCCTTAAACTGTGCTCACGGTGCGTCTGAATCAAGATGAAATGAAAGGTTGCCGGACATTGGACAATCTTGCAAATTTTAAAAGTATATTATTTCTAGTTTAAAAAATTTTAAAAATTAAAATCATATATACAGGGCATTTTGTTTTTATTTAAACATTTTTATTTTTGCAGTTATATTGTTGGTATTGGTAAAAAAAAAGTAAAGTCGAAATTTTGATGCTCTCATCGCTTAGCTTGTCTTTAACCCGGACGTTCACAGCACTACCTACGGAATTCTTTGTCCACCCACTTGTTTACGATCTCCTTTGAGTGTACTTTGGCGAACCTACAAGAGGGTTTCGGGCCATGGAGTGTTGAGGATAGCTCCGTGTTTTTCTAGACGGTCCGGCTGCTCATCGCCATCGCGGTTCTCATGCCCGGCGTGCAGCCAGTAATACTGTGTTCTTGATTCCAAGAGCATTTAGGGTGCGAGGGGGAGAGTTGACGGTTGCATCCAAATATTCATTCTAGTTGAGTGTCTTATCCAGCCTCACCCCCATGTATTTTGCTTCCTTTGAAAGACCCACATATTCTACTGCCACCCCAAAAAAATTCCGTCATAACATTTTTCTCCGGGTAAACGAAGCCAGAGTAGGTTTAGTACGATTAATGGATAATCCCTTGGTGTATCACCATCTTTGTGTAATGCACAGGGCATATTGGATGCGGCTGGAGAGCGTTTCGCCATGCAGCCCTGCTTCCAGATCACAAGATCGTCTGGCTAGCCTTGTGTTTCGAAGCCGTTTTCGTTCAGTAGGAAGAGGAGTTCGTCTATAACCACAGTCCGCAAGAGAGGAGAAAGTATACTACCTTGAGGGAAACCCTTTGTGAATGTAATACATTCTTTCATTCCTCCCAACTCCGTACCGCTCTTCCTTGTTTTTAACATGGTAAGCACCCAATTCTTGATGATGTGGTTTGCCATCTTACATATCAAAGCATCTCTTATTGCCCCGTATGACGTGTTGTCAAAAGCCCCTTAAATATCAATGAAGACACAAAGGGCTATGGTGTTAGACTCCAAAGCCTTTTCAATTTTCCTTGTAAGGCTATTATAGCAAATAATAAGTTATTGGTTGGAGTTTGATCACCAATTGGTTTACTTTATTGATTTCACTTTCTTTTATACCAAATTCTTACACTAACACTTACAAATTATTTACGAACTAGAATGTATACAAATATACTACTAATACCTACAAACTAACTACATAACTCTAAAATATGCTAAGTCAACATATGGTTGCAATAAATATATAAATATGTCAGTCGCATTGACAAACTGACGTTGTGGATCAGTTAGTCACTGCGACTGTCTTTGGCGGTGTCTTTGACCGTCCGCACAAGTGTAACAAGATCCTCGCTATGTGCGATGAATGCAGTCTTTGCATAAACTCCCGCTGAGTTCAATGTAACTGATTTGGGTAAACTGTTGTTTGTGTACATTCCTATTTGTTTATACATTACTTATGTGCACATGACAATTAAAGTAAAAAGGGCGATGTGCTTATGCTACACCTTCCCTCTTAAAAAAAAATAGATATATATATATTTGTAGTCAACTATATATATCTATTTTACTGATTCAGTGAACCGCTTGATGTTTGTTTGGGTTGACAAAATTTTAATCGTTTTAGGATCTTGTTACCATTGTTTTGTTACGTGTTTTCCTTTTGTTTTTTTTGTTTGTTTGTATATTTTATGTGATATTTGATTTTGTTTTCTTTTGGCTTGTGCCGTATATAAGGTTGAGTAAATTGGAATGCTTATGTGTATTATTATTTTTTTTTTTCTAAATTATTATTATGGATAAAGTGGCATGCTTATTTTTAAAGGTTTTAAATTGGTTTAAGCCTATTTTTATGAATTACGATTTCCTTTTTGTTTTTATTGCTACCTCCTATGCTATGTGGAATTAAAGTATAGTTGTTATTTTTATCAATGGTTTTAACTTTATAGTGTCCTGTATATCTATTCTCTAACTTATGGGAGGCCTCTTCTCTAACTAATACTAAATCTCCTATTTTAATTTCCTTACTATAGCTATTTTTGTCATAATTGGATTTTTGCTTTTCTTTAGCTTCTTGAATTAATTTGCTTGCTCTTTGCTGTGCTATTTGAAGTTTGTATTTTACTTCTTTGTCATACGCCTCATGGTTGTATACCGGGCTAATTTCATTTTCTTCCAAAAATTCATAATTTGGTGGTTGTTTTGCGAATATTAGTTC